ATAGCAATTTAGCAGGCAAGTTTGCCGGGTAAGGAGTGAGTGGGTGGCACGGGCCATGTGGGTGGCGCAGCCTTGTGTTTCTGCGCAACCTGGATTAATTGCTTTGTGGGGGGTGCTCTGGGGGAGAGATTTCTCTGTGGCCCACCAAAAGTTTGTCGGGGCCCACTGGTTGACGATCGTTGATCTATTTAGTTTGGAACAATGGTCAGCAGATGCATTCAAGAAAATAGCTGCCATAAGGAGTTTTGCCATTGCCCAAATAAATGTGGACAAGAAGGCATTCTCGGAAATAAATATATTTTTGAAGATGGTAGTTTATAACAGGAAGAACTACTAGGTCAGCTTCTTTTATATCTGGTTTAATATAAATATTTTTTAAAGGAAAACTGGGCATAGGGCTGGGGAATATCAAATGAAGTGAATATAGATATCAGCAGTGGTACTTTCCTTTGGCATAAAGCAGACACTCAATCTTTCATAAGCCCTGTTTATTAGCAAAATACCAGAATACTATTTAACATTCAATCAGATAATATTTACCCTCTTGCACTGGGTTCCCAGTATGGTGCATATAATCCTGAAAATGCAGGAACAAAGTAGCAGCCGTAAGATGTGCCTACTTCAGCAGCAAGTTTCTCTAAGATCAATAGAAAATAGAAAACTTATCTCTGCAGAGAAATAGTCATTTGAAAAAGCTAAGAATGGCAAAACAAAATGTAAATAATTTCTAGAATAAATAAGACTGTTGAGTGTATTAATCTATATAACAAACATAGAGCCAGGAAGCAGAAGTATAAATTTTATATGTGCTATCATCTTCAACAAGTTGGTACTTTCTGGATGTGCTGAACTACAATATACCTCCTACAGATCATTTATATCCATAAATAAAACCTTATGGTATGATTTGAATAAACATAATTCCTACTGAGCTTTATTTTTTTCCAGGAAAATGGTGTAGAATTGCAGTTTTAATTAATCATAATAACTGGAACTCTGTATGATTATTATTCCTACTCTTACTAGCAATATCACCATATAAAAATTTCACTATTACATTTTCAGAAGAAATACAAGAGTCATCAAGCCTAAAATTAGATATGCATGGTTAAAAATGGCATAGACCTTGAGTACACAAATAAATTCTTATCTAAGTGAACATGTTTGAATGAAACACAGAACCACTCTGAGTCCCTATATTCTTACAGATTTACAATAAATTAGAAAGTTATACTCACCTACTTCTTCTGAAGATTTTGCAATACCAAGATTGTCCCTCAACCAACGAACAACAGCTCCTGCAATAGCAACAGAGCCCTAAAACAAAAAGGCAGACTAAAAATGTTTCATTTATTACTTCATGATTGTTCTTACTATATAGTATCCAAATATGTATTAAAATTGATGCATGTCTATTTATTTATTTTATTAAATGTAAAAGTATATGCTGCCCATGACCTATTCACAGATTTTTTTTGCAGCTCTTACAACTATTTTTAAAGCAATCTTAAATATCTTTTAATTCACAATTAAAATTTCATGGAAACCATGGAAACGCAGTCTAGTTCATGTCCCTGTTTGACTTGCACACATGAAATGATCCTGAAATTACATAAAAGATTTGTACCCCTTCAAATACTGTAGCAACATGAGTGGTAGCGTTTACCTACAAATAAGTGGCTGCTTGGCACCCACTGAAACTGAAATACCAAAATGCTTGCAATGAACAATTGACTTACTTCTAATGCATAACATACAGCCTTGTCTCTACCCAATTTGTAAGCCACAGTGGTTAAGAGGCCATGCTCAGAGAGTGCAGGCTGAGAAAAACAGAAAAAGAAAACATTACTTACTTATTCCTGCTTTATAGGAAAAGTCACTGTATAATAGTCATGTACAATTTTAAAACTGAAGTGGAAAGTTTAAAGTATTAATTAGTTACCAAAAAATATTTATGGGGAGAATTATAATAGCTAAATACATTTTTGACATCTTAATAAATAATAACTTTCTGGTTATATTACTTATCTAGAAATCTAATTGGGCATTTCATCTGTTAAAGATAGCTATTGCCAAAATACTAAAATAATTATTTTTCAGTTGTCTTAAATACTGGCTAATATATTAGTTTTCTAATATGGGTTTCACTTTAAGGGTTTCATACGAATCAATTTCTCAAAAATATTATGAAGCTAAAGCCTGAACCAGGAGTCCTATTACAATGTGATTTTGACTTGACTTTCATGAGATGAAATGAATTTGAAATTATTTAAAAATTATATAGAAGACATTAAAGACAAAGAAAACATACTCGAACTATATTTTTCAAAAAAATATACACTTAAGGGTATTGTGCATTAATGTCTTTTTTTTTTTTTGAAAAACAGCAAATTGTTTCACTCATAGCACTAACCTTATGGCCCGTATTGCAGAGTAAGAAGCAGCCTGTTCCATACCTACAGTAAAACAAAAAAGTTACTAAAGTACATCTGAAAAGCAGAATGTAATTCTTCAGCAAAATTGCTAAAGAAGAACCTGCAGTAGATACATATCAATAAAACTTGGGGGGAAAAAAACTCTAATACGACTGAATAACACGACTCTAAATGTCCACATTTTTTATTCCTATGCTCTCTATACAATGTGTGTACAATTATTAGGCAAATTAGTATTTTGACCATATCATTTTATGCATATTTTCCACTTCCATAAACTTGAATGCTTAGCGGCTATAAGGTATCAGGTGATGTGTATTTGTATAATGAGGGAGGGTGTGGCCTAAAGGGATTAAAAGATGTGCATAATTATTAGGCAGCTTCTTTTCCTCAAGCAAAATGGAGAGTTAGAGATTTAATTGACTTAGAAAAGACAAAAAATATAAAAAGTCTTTTAGAGGGATGCAGCACTCTTGAAATTGCTAAAATATTGGGGTGTGATCACAGAACCATCAAACATTTTGTTGCAAATAGTCAACAGGGTCACAAGAAATGTGTTGAGAAAAAAAGATGTATATTAACTGCCAAAAATGTGAAACAAATCAAACGTGAAGCTACCAGGAACTCATTATCCTCCAGTGCTACCATATTCCAAAACTGCAACCTACCAGGAGTGCCCAGAAGTACAAGGTGTTCAGTGCTCGGAGACATGTGCAAGGTAAGGAAGGCTGAAACCTGACCACCACCGAACAAGTTACAGAAATTGAAATGCAAAACTGGGCAAGAAATATCTGAAGACAGATTTTTCAAAGGTTTTATGGGCTGATGAGATGAGAGTGACTCTTGAAGGACCAGATGGCTGGGCCGGTGACTGGATCAGTAACAGTCACAAGCTCCACTTCAACTCAGACTCCAGCAAAGTGGAAGTGGGGTACAGGTATGGGCTGCTGTTATTAAAGATGAGCTAATGGACCTTTTTGGATTGAAGACGGACTCACAATCAACTCCCAAACCTTTTGCCAGTTTTTAGAAGACACTTTCTTCAAGCAATGGTCCAGGAAAGTCTGCATCTTTCAAGAAGACCATGATTTTTATGCAGGACAATGCTCCATCACAGCGGTCGCCAACTGGTGGGCTGTGAGAAAATTTTGGTGGGCCGCATAGAAATCTTACCCCCAGAGCATCCCCCACAAAGCAATTAATCCAGGTTGCGCAGAAACACAAGGCTGCACCACCCACATGGCCCAAGGCAACCAACCCTCCCCACCCACTCACTCCTTACCCGGCAAACTTGCCTGCTAAATTGCTAT